TTATCCTTCGTGACAGGTTACAGATTTATATATTGTCCACCTTCGACTAGCCACAATGGAATATAAATTCCAAGAGAGCGGAAATATTATCTGATTTCCTGCTGCATTTCCAGCTCCTTGACCAGTGCCTAGACATAGGAAGTACTCAATAAATACCTGCTGAAAAAATAATGAATTATCAAATATTGGGAGGTTGTAATGAGAGATCAGGAGATTCTTCATGAAATTGGACATCTCAACCAGCCAAGGTTTTCATGATGCAGGGGAGGCCTCATGGTGCCTTTGATTTATAATGCCCTTGTAGCTATATAAAGACTACAAGACCCCAAAGCAAGGGAGAGTGAAAAGTGTACTCATCACCATAATAGTGACCTTAAGGGAAATGCTTATTTCATCTGCTCACTGCATTTCAGTTCCTTCCTAATTCTGTTAAATTCTCACCCTGTGCTCATATCACGTGGTAAAAATGAGAAATAGCTCAATGGTTAAAAGGATTTGATGTTCTTGCATAGAACCCATTTGATTTCCAGTACTCACACCAGAGTGGGGAAGCTCACAGCCTCCTGTAACTGCAGCTCTAAGGGATCCAATGCCATCTTCTGTCCTCCACAGGTACCCATGCTCATGTGTACATATACGCAGATACAATTAAAAATAAAATAAATCTTTGAAAGAAGCCGGTGTGGTGGCCTAGTCCTTTAATTTCGGCACTCAGGAGGCAGAGTCAGCGGATCTCTTTGGGACAAAGGCCAGCCAGGTCTACATAGTAGGTTTCAGACCAGCTGGGGCTACAGGGAGAACTTGCCTCAAAAACAATAAATAAAAATCTTTAAAAGACAAAATGAGTTGAGCCTAGAAGTTGCTCAGAAACAATTTTGCTGTCATTTTTATCCATGCTTCTCCAATTGTGGGGATACTTGTATCTAATGGCTCCAGATTATTTTACTAAGACTTCTTCATGGAACTATCTGTGTGTACAAATACCTTATTCTTATCCCAGAAGCTATCATGTAACAGGATTATGGTAAAGCTTTATCCACAGATGTAAGTCATGCTTTAAAAAATTCATTAAAAATTATGTGTATAAATGTTTTATCTGCATGTATGTAAGTGTACCCATGTTGTAATTCCCATGGAGCTCAAAAGATGGTGTCAGATCCCCTGGAACTGTAGTTATTAGCCACCATGTGGGTGCTGGGATCTGAACCCAGATTTTCTGCAAAAGCTGTCAGTGCTCTTAATTGTTGAGCCATCTCTCTAGTCCTGTAAATCAGGATTTTTCAATTAAAAATGAGTTGTACAAGGAAGCATTATACTCAAGATATAAGAAAAGGAGGTTGTATTGTTTCATCAATAAGATGTTATAGTGATATAAAAGTTTCAATCACTAGTTCGTTCTAAGTAACCAAGTTAGAACAAATCTAAGTGCAGAAGTATGTAATTCAACACATTCAAACACAAGATCATAAATGAAGGTGAAATTAATAAAAATATTTCATGTGACATTCATAACGAAGACTATGCCTGACGGAAAAACTGGACAAGAGCTCATTGGTTCTTCAGACTAGCGACAAATCCAGTGAACTTTCCTGTACATGATTTTGTGAATGAAAATAGAGTGGGAAGTAGGAGTGGCTTTGCTTCCTGGAATTAGGTTCAGAACGTACCCTTCAGCCTTTCCATGCAATTCCCTTCAGAGACAGTTCTAGGAGAAGGCACGTGGCACAAAGCTGATGAGGTCTTTTGAGTCATGTGGACCCTGGACTTATTCCAGTCTTACATGGCATTTGAATAACTCCCTTATCTAGCTAGCAACATCCTTTTTCTGTACACATTAAGCATGAGGTCGATTAAAAGGCAGTGTAGAGAAAAGATGAAGAAAGAAAGTCAGAAGAGTTCTGAAAGGTACCATGACCTGGAATTACTCCTTGATTGCTATATTGATAGGCCTCCATTAGTGCCACGGAAAGGATTTATGGAAGCTAGCTTCACCCAGCATCTTATGATGAGCCCCAAAATATCTAGTGACAAGAATGATTTATTAAATCAGCCAGAAATCATGTTGGTAAGAAGATCATTAGGAATGACATGATCATGTGGTTGTTGGTGATTATGTACTAAATGCCTAGAGGGTACAATATTGTACGTAGTGCTATAACATATAGGGTTGTGAAGTGCACAATTGTGCCTGCCTATCCCAACTGTATAAAAACCTTGAGAAAACAGAAACTGAAATAAACTCCATACCTACTACGTCATCTGATTACATCAGAGAGCTAAGCACAGGCATTTCTTATTTATTCAAGAAAATGTTGAGGCTTGCCTCGGTTCACATGTTCTAAGTATTGCTGACCCAAAACAGCTAGGTTTCCAAACATAAGCGGCAAGACTCATGAAATTAGAATGCCTTTCATTCAAATGGCATTAGTTATAATTCTCCTAGGTACTAGTAGCCATTTGGATAGTTATGGTAGAAAAAAATATGTTCGGAGACTCATAGAAGTTCACCACAGACATTGATACTCTAAGCTGAGAAACAGGGCAATGTTCAAAGCTAGAATGTCCACACCAGGGGCAGAAGCAACCTGGAAATAGACTTGGCATCACGACCATTCTGGAACACAGGTGGTCAGATTAGGGACAGTGGAAGAGGGAGACTGTTGAGGACTTAGCATTAAGCAGGACTATAACAATTTCTTGTAATAAATGAAATATTCTGCTGTCTAAAGGCAAAGACTGACATTCAAGTACCAATGTCCCAAACCATTACTATCCTGAATATGTTTTCATACTAAATTCTAATTTAAACAAAAAGCACAGTAACCTTTCATCATATATTGCTGCTATTTCTTTCTTTTAAAGATGAGGGGTGGGGCTGGAGAGATGGCTCAGTGGTTAAGAGCACTGACTGCTCTTGCAGAGGACCAAGGTTAGATTCCCCGCACCCACATGGCTAACAATCACCTGTAACCCCAGTTCCAGTGGAGCCGGTACCTTCTTCTGAACTCTGCGGGCATTGCGCTACATGGGTGCATTTACACACATGCAGACAGTACACTTATATAAATAAAATAAAAATAAAAACAAAAATAAATTTTTTTTAAAAAAATTGAGGAAGGAGGTAGGTCTGGTGGAGCACACCTTTAGTCCCAGCACTCAGGAGGCAGAGGTTGGTGGATCTCTGTGAGATCAAGGCCAGCCTGGTCTACATAGTAAGTTCCAGGCCAACTATGGCTATAGGGAGACTGTCTCAACCCCGCACCCCCATCCCTGATGAAAGAGTTGTGGAGGAAAATAAACTATATAAACCAAAGTAATATATGTCATTATGTTTCATTACTGTGTCACACGAATTTTAAAACTTAAACTTGTATTTAACTATAGCCAACATGTTCCGTCACATAAGAAACAGTTGCATTTAATTGGGGGCTGGGCCTATACAGCTTCCTGTAGAGAATTGCTGCATCTGCCATCGGTCGCAGGAAATTTCAGTTGCTCTCCTCTACTGCTCCATTCAAGAAATTTAAATGTGAGCAGTAAATTTAAAACTTCACTGTGAGCAAGACATGGAGAGGATTCTGGTGCTTGCATCTCTACAAGGGCAGAAATTATTTCCAACCATTCAGAGTCTTTACTCATCTACCACAAAACAAACTGATGTCTTGAAAAGAAAGTGGAAATACTTTAAACCTCAATGAGCCCAGGATTCTTTAAAGGATCTCTAAATGATTCTCACATTTTGTGGACTTAAAAATAACCTGGACAGTCTGAAAAGCCTTACTTGCTTCCAATAAATCACTTTCATTTTCCACTCTCTGCTCCAAAGTGGATTCCCTTTCACTTACAGTATGGATGGAAATTCAACATCAAGGCTGGTGGCAGTCAAGTTGAGCTGAGACTGTCTTTTCTGTCATGTGCATTTGGAACTCAAAAGTTTGAAAGGTGCAGGCTGTTCAACATTTTGCTTAACAACAATCCTCAACTCTGCTTTACCGCACCAACCATGAGCCTTGTAGATAGTCTTGCCTTCTGAAACTTGGATGCAGACACACTATGTGTTGATGGACTACATATGTGGCACTTGCCATACAAAACATTTTGCATCCCCATGACTAGGTTTTCCCTCTTGGGGGCGATATTCCCCAGTTGAAAATGAGAAACAAAAAAGTCTACATCTGATTCCATAGCCAGAAATTTCTAAATCAGTAATAATGTAGTACCACTTCAGTCAAAACAATTACATGTCATTTTCAAAAATAAAACTTTAACAATATATAAAGTGTGAAATGCACAAAATTGGATGAAATATTGTTCTAGCAGTAAGTAGCATCTGAGTTAATTTTTTGGCATTGCTCTCAATTTGTTGGGCTCTAGTTGATGCTTGCTCATAGTACTAAAATGTGCTGACTATTTAATTTTATACACATTTCTAAAAGCAACACAAAAAGAAAAAAACTCCAAGAAAATATTTTTTTCTCTGGGTGGTGACAATTGGTAATTTCCAAAACTAGATAGAAAACATCCATAGAAAGTACTATAATTTTAACTTTACACAGACATAACCCAACCTTCTCACAACCAACCTGAAAATAACTGGCCCACAAAACTGTTTGTCATAAAAACAAATGACAGCCTCATCAGAAAAACCACTGTGCCATCAGCATGCATAATTTGGGAGAAACTGTTTTCATCTGAAAAGATACCAAAATATCCATGTTCTATTGAAATTCCACACAAACACACTAAAAAGGAAACAACCACGAACACACACACACACACACACACACACACACACACACACACACATTTTCTCATACCCATGGCAAGAAACTTATTAAGCTTAAGAAACAGAACTGTGGCTAATACATGCAGGCTATATCTTGCCTACTATTAAGAGTTACGCTGCATTGTTATATTGCTTCAATAGCAGTGAAGGTAAAGGAAGTTTTCTGTAGAAGTCAATGCAAAGAAACTCCAAATAACAAATCGTGTTCACCTACCTTCACTGGTCCACGTTCATGACTGAAGCCCTGCACCAGGTGCACATAGGACATCATGAAAATATTCACCACTGCCCACTCTCTGTACATTTTGAATATTTTAAATGTCCACTTGATTACTAAGCAGTTGATACCAGGCAGCTACCGAAAATTGTTTCAAAAGGCATTCTCCAGAAACAAAATTTGAACCCCCAAAACTTTACATGGAAAAACAAATGATTTCAATCAGGCAAGATACTTTTTTCCCTACAATCTTGTGGGGGGGGGAAGACAGAGAGTGAGAGAGGGAGAGAGAAATTAAAATAGTCTCATGCTCCAAAAATAGTCATCAGGAGGTGGATATGTCTTCCACTTGAAGCTAAAAAGCACTCCATAATCATTTCATGTCCAGAAAATTGAAAAACAATTTCCCCACTCTATGCCTTAGGTTCTATTCTAGCTGTTTTGTAAGGAGGTGGTTCAACCACCAATGCTTGCATCTATGGAAGGCTGGAACCCAACTATGGATTTAAACTTTTTTCACAGCCTTCAAGGAAGCTTGCAGGAGCATGTGTCTTAAATCTGACACAGCTTTTGGCAGAAAATGCAGGGACGTCTTGGCTGTAATCCTGCTGCGTCCCTACCAATGGCAGTACAGTTTTCAAAGCTGACTCACAGGCTCAGGCCTGCTGGTTTTTTTTTTTTTTTTTTTTTTTTTCCAAGCAGATAACCTGTAACAGGAAACCACAGCACACAGTCCCCATGGCTGCGGTGTATTGCAATAGGATTACTTAAGAAGGGATTTCAGATGCTCACACTCTGCTGCCAGTGACACAGAAAGCCAACAAACATGCTTTCAAAAACCCCAAAGGGCAGGAAATAACAAAAACATCTACTCACATACGAAAGGCACACATGCACACACAAAGATTGTTTATAATATGAGCTTAATGATTTCCATCAAAATGAAGAACACTGACTTTAAAAGAAGTAACAATTAGATTTATTTGCACATGCCAGGAAATATCCTATATACATCGCTACTGAAACCATTTTTCACTCTGGGTTCCCCCCCTTTTAAAATTAATTATTTGGTCTTTGACAATTTCATACATGTATATAATGCATTCTGGTGACTCTCACCACAAACAATTTTTTAGTTGTTTTTAATATAAATCCCATCAATATGTCACAGAAGATTTTAATACATAAAAGATAGCATATCAGTGCCTCTTAACTCTTTCAGGTCCATCTCCTCTCTTTTCATACCAAATAATGTGAAATATTCAATTTACTGTGGTGAAATAAAAGAGAATTGCCTACTCCTTCGTACTGAATTGTGTCTCTCTAAAATGTGTATGTTGCAGCCCCAGATGTGACTATATCTAAAGAGGGTGTTGAGGAAATAGTGGCCAAATTAAACTGCAAGTGTGGAAACCTAGTTACATAGAACTGTGGCCTTATAAAAAGATGAGCTCTATCTTCCCCATATAAGAACAGACATAAGACATATAAGCCAGAAAGAAGAGACCTCACCAGAACACAATATTGCTGGTCCTTCTTCCTCTCAGCTTCCAGATTTCTAAGACACTATATTTCTTTTAAGCCACTCAATGTATGGAATTTTGTTGTTAATTAAACACTTGTCTATATAACCTTTCTATTTGGAAAAAATAAGTATTATGAGTATTACATCCTAATTCTGATAAAAAATAAAAGCTAAGAATCAGTCAGTTTATAATAAAATAATGTGAATTTTCTTATGTAAAGGATAAGATACAAGTACATTTGATCCTTTATGCAAAACCATTTTAGCACTTCAATGTGGACTACTTTAGAAGCACCAGCTAAGTCACCTTTAGAAATTTGGACCACACAAATGGCAAAATCTGAGGAAGCATTTGGCTCTGCTCTTGAGTTCTTTATTGATTTCCAATCTTTGACTTCCAGGTTTTGGCCCCTTCAAAGCCATTTTTTGCATTCCTGAAATCAAGAATGGCCTTAGAAATTTCTTCATTGGTATTCATCACGAATGGACCTAGGACAGAAAGAGACATTCATTCACAAAGTTCTGGAAGACAAAATTTCCTCTACGACTACCACTACCGTAGTTCGTCAGTTGAAACAAAATCCAGACATAGCTGAACAGTAAGAGCGTCTTTTTACAGTGTTAGTTACACAGTGTTGAAGTACAGGACTGTAATTTAAGTTTCTTGACTAGGATTGTATATGATTATAAATTATTATACAGACGACACTTCAGATAAACAAATATAATTGTTTCTCATCATCCATTGCGTATTCGTCACCACTGATGGCAATCCCTTTATTCAAAACATTCTTTTAAAATATTTTATCTATTATGTTTATTTTATGTGTGTGAGTGTATTGCCTGCATGTAGGTAAGTACACCCATGTTGTACAATGTCTGCAGAGGTCAGAAGAGGGCATCAGATCCCCTGGAACTGGAGTTAAGGCAGTTGTTAGCTGCTATGTGGGTGCTGGGACCTGAACCCAGGTCCTGTGCAAGAGCAGCCAGTACTCTTAACTGCTGAGTCATCTCTCCAGTCCCTCAAAACATTCTTTATAGCTGTTATTTGTACAAGAGCTAATGTCAAGAACTGAACTGACCTGGTATTATGACTCAGCCAAATCACCTTTGAGTTTTAGTGTGTATCTAAGCAGTGGATGAGGCTCTGCATTGACATGATGGTTCTAAGACAGTTTTGAAAACTAACAATATCATAATGACAGCAAACAGAAGATTTAACTGTTTTCAAACAATTTGTATATTAACAAGTTTTGTTTTATTTCATTTTCCTTTCGTTTACTCAGAAGAGACCGGGACCTCCATGTTTCCTGTGCTAACCATAGATTAGACTACATTTTTCGGGTTAGCTAGTTTTTTCTTTCACGTCAAAAGTCATTAAGTGCTTACAATTAAAGGTGTTTTATCCTCATGTAAAAATTTTCTTTTCATGCTTATGTTACTCTTTCTTTATTTTGATCATAATTTCTCATTCACTATCGTCCCCAAAAGATACATCATACTGGTAATGAGGCCTTCTTCTTAGGGATCACCAGCACCATAACTTTGATGAATTTTAGTAATAAATATGTCCATATACCATAAAAAGAGATTACAAGAACTTCAAATCAAGAAAATATCATTTTTTTATTCCTTCAGTGTCAACAGATTTTTTCTGTAAAGAGCCCGAGAATGTCTACATTATACTTTATGTGTCAAACAGTGTCTTTCTCAACTGTCAAAAACTTTGAAACATAAATGTAGTCATGACAGTATGAAAGGGACTAGTCATGACCATGTTCCAATAAAATTTCATTTACAAAAACATGAACAGATTTGGCCTAAGGCTTATAGTTCGCTGACTGTCTAATTTCTGGATCTGAACTCAGATTTTGCTAAAAGTATTCAAGAAATTCTCTCTTAATTTACCAGGAGGAAAAGTATTTGCCTCATCTTATTTCTTCACAAATTGTAAGAACAAAAGAACACTGGACTGTCTCACAATCTTGCATTACTTGACATTGCTAGTGTCTTGAAAACAGTCAACAGACTTGCCCATTCAGTATATTTCTTCTACCTGCCTACAGAGGTTCCTTGTATTTCTTTTTAAAAACTGTTTTATTAGCATATATTAATTATGAGTTTCATTATGACATTTTCATGCAAGTATATAATCTATTGTGATCATATTCACCCCACTACCCTCTCATCCTCTTCACATTCCCATTGATCCCCTTCCTCTTCCCAACTGGCCCTCCTTTAACTTTCTTGCTTTTTTTGATGACTCGGTGAGTTGTTTAATTAGGATTGCTTACCGGGAACATGGGCAAAAGGTTATTTACAGGAGCATTGACAATTTACCAGTAATTATACCATCAAAGAAAATGTCTCTGTCTCCCCAGCAACAATTAATTGTGCATAGAGCCTCAGGAAAGGGTGTCGCCTCATGAGTCCTTAATGGGCTTATTCTTATGCTGGGCCTCTGTTGGTAATCATAGCTGCTGAGTTCATGATTGCAATAAGCCAAGTCATGTCTGGAAGACAGTGTTCCTTAGCACCCTCTTCAACCTCTAGCTCCTAGCTCTAACTCTGCCTCTCTTCTTCAGCATTCCCTGAACCTTGGGGGCAATTTATGTCCCATTTAGGGCTCAGCATTCAACAACTGCTTATTCTAAGTACTTTATCAGTTACTAGGCTCTGCAGTAATCACCATCCACTACAAAAAGAAGCTTCTCTAAGCCGGCAATTACATTACGGCATCCTTCCACTATGGTGTTCTCTCTGGGAGACTTTGGTTTACATATAATTGTATTACTTAGAGGGAAAGATACATTCAATCTTCTTAACCTTCATTACCATACAATAGCAAAACAGATTTGCTAATGACTATAATGTAATAATTTGATAAATTAAACATAAGATAATATGTCTTGTTGGTGAAGAGGCCTGTGGGGAAGTTGTAGGAAATGCAATGCCAATAGAAAGGCAGAGTTCAAGAGAAGGCATTTAAATGCACTAATTAATTAATTAAATAATCCATCTATTTGGCTTTGGCTATCAATGGGAGGAAATTTGAACATAAATATGTAGATGATCAGGCATGTCATTGTTGGGTTCAGTAAAGAGTAATATCTGATTTGTAGGTTTCAAAAAAATTATTTCTATTTTATGTGTATAAGTGTTTTGCCTACATGTATGCAAGTACATTCATGTTGTGCAGTGCCAATGGAGGCCAGAAAAGGGTGTTGGATACCCTGGAACTGAAGTTCCAGATGGCTGTTAGACACCATATGGGTGTTTGGAATGTTCTGTGTAAGAGGAGCCAGTGTTCTTAGCCTCTGGGACATCTCTCCAGCCCCTAATTTGTAGATTTTTAATGAGATTTTGTCATCAGGGCAGAAAAGGTGTCAGCCTGGGAGGCTAAGTCAATGTTGGAATCATAGGAAAGCTGACATAACCAGATGTTGGAGGCTATGGGTAGAACCAGGAGTTCAGCTCTGTGTATTTTGACACAGAGAAAAATAACATGACTTCCCAGAGAGGTTTACTGGGGCATTAGGGCTGGGAAGAAGTTATCTTGAGCTGATGAGAGAAATTCCATCTGGAAATGAAGGTTTGGAGTTCTTTTCAGGTAGGAAAGAAAGAGTCCTAGTGTTCAAAAAAATAACAAATTAAGGAGAACATCTGGGAGAAGCCAACTTCTTAGCGGACAGAAGCGAGGGAAACAGAAGTGGAAACTGAGATCAAATACTGAATCAAGGGCTGATTTGCTGCACATCATAATGTTCTTATAATTTTCCCTGGTGGAGCACTGCCACTCTCATGCCCCAACTCTTTATGTGATGCATTTCTAGATTCTATTTTGGGCATTTTTCTTTAGGGTAGTCTGCTATGTCTCTCAGTTCATAATTTGAATTCGAATCTGCTAGACAGTTCGCTAAAATTCTTCTTCTGATTCAGGTGGCCTGGAGTGGGCTCTGGGAGCCTATATTTCTAGTTATATCTTCAAGTTATATCCATGCTGCTAATCCATGGACCACACTTCAAGAAACAAGGCTCTTTATCCAAGGTAACTGGGAAGGGTGGAGCCCTTCAAAGCCATGCTAAAGAAGCTCATATCTGCAGTTTCTCTAGAAGAAAACTGAATTCAAAGAGTGTATGTTTTCTATTGAATTTTCACAAATTTCATACAATATATTTTTATCATATTTATATCTGATCCTCCCTATCTGCACCCCATTACTGTCCCCAACCAAT